TTTCTCTAATAGAATCTTCAGCAATAACTGTTAGAATCTTTTGTAAGTTATGCTTCGACTTAAGGGCTTGTATGATGAAAAGAAGTAATGAGTTAAGCCGCCACTACTTCTTACCATTTGCGTGAAAGAGTTCATTGCGTGAAACTATAAAAACAAGCGTAGCTCTATCAAAATTTTATCAAGTAAATCACAAGGAACCGGCTTTTATAGCTGCAATCTTATGCAAATTTATGTACGTAATCACTTGCAAATTTGCAATTATAAGCTAAATGCATTGATTCTCAGCGATCATTTCAATAATTAATTATTGTCTGTACTGACTGCGATCAAACTTTATCACACAAACGGAAAGTTTGACAATGAATTTTATGAGATTCAGTGTTTTTTCGCTGTTTAGAAGGATGAGAGAATGCCACCCATCCAGGCGGAATCTTTAGCATCTAAGTGATTTATCCATCAAGCAATCTCCAGCAAGAAGCCTAAGATCAAAAAGTCAAAGATTCAGAAGCTGAATGTCAAGCAGCTCCATTTACTTATTCATTTATTAATGCCAACGCAGTGTAGCCAAAAGCAGCTTGTCTTTTAATTCGATAACACTTTGCGAATTCAGATTTTCTAGGACTCTAACTTGGCGAAAATAAGATGCAAATTTGATTTTAGCACAGAAAACTGAAAAAGGTGTCAGTCCTCACCTTACGTTAAGCTGTTTAGTTCGAACAAAGCTACCGCCCGAAGGTGCGCTTAACTGCACGCAAAAACCTGCACGCCGCGTGAAAACAACAATACAAACTTAATGAACAAATAGAGCAAACATGGTTTGATTGCACAATTTCGGTTTTGAAAAAACATGGTTTTGCTCAAAAAATAATCAGTTTTATGTTACTAGCAATCAAATCATGTAACTCTCTCCGAATTTTCAAACTGAGTGGTTGCTTATGAGTTTATAGCATTTTTTGAAATAACGATTGCCAATAAACAGAATATATAGATTATAAGTTTAACCTACCTATAAAACCAAAAGCTGGCATCTTGCGACTTTCTGAGATGTCGTGGAAATTCATTCTGCGATTTTCAGAAGACTATCAATGAAACACTTCCATTTCCCCTTTTTAACTGCAGACGTGTGCAATACTTGAAATTTGTATAGAAAAATAAACTAAAACAATTAAGCAAATCGGTCGTCATGCGAACGAATATCTTCATGGTCCATCTCGATCGCATGATCGCATCGATCGCATGATCCAAGTCCATCTCGATCGCGATGATATAAATCAAGACCATTTCGATCGAGATCAACTCGATTTCAAAGGAGTTTCCTTTGCGCGTGCTATGAAGAGGTCCGTTTGCACGTTTTAATGAGTCACACATATCGAATCACTTCAAATCAAACATTTTTTTAAATTTATATTCAAAGGGTAAAATATTTTCAGCACTCTAAATTCTGCTCTGATAAACACAAAAATGATCAGATGCTTCTAAGTAGTAATCAATTTAAAATTTTTCCTCAGAGATTCAGATCGGCTTAACGTTTTAAGTCTGACACAACACTTTGCGCTACTCATCTTTATTAGGTTGTCAACGTTTGCATTGATGAGAAAAATGTACGTGTAATTTGTATTACTGCCTCTTTGTATAGCACAAGAGTGATTATGCAAAAGGCATTTGCATAATAAATTTGCATAATAAACAACAAATCAAAATATATGACAAATTTGATGCATTTTGCATTTGTTTTCTTTAGTAATAGTTTTTTATCTGATCAAAAAACAATTTGATGCTACTCATTTGTACTGAATAATTCAGCATCATATCAATAGTGAAATAATATTGAGAGATAATAATTGATTATTTATTATGTCATATATTGATCGTAAATAAATGATAATAATCAATTATTATCTCTCAATCAATAATGATTGATTATTATCTCTCAATATCATTTGACTTACGTGATCATGACAGTTTTTCAATTTTTGAAACAACTTTTCAAAATCTGGTATGACTTCAACTTTTTAAAATTTATTCCATTGTAGATACAACGGCAAGTACACAGATCGAAAATTATCATAAGCTATTGAACAAAATTTGTTGGCAGTGGCGTTGATATGATTATTATCTTTAATCAGAATACTAATTTGTTCAGTATAAAACGGAGCTTTTACACTTGTCTGTGCTATTTCCTTTTTCAACTTACTACCTTTCAAACTTTTCATGCATAGTTTTTTCAATTTGCCTTACTCATTACTAAATACTGAATTCTTTGACTGCAAAGTGCCGTGAAGAGATAAAAAATTCGATTGATTATTTGTGATCAAAAAAGTAATCTTATCTAAAATATCGGACTTTGTGGAATTGACGGGTTGCGCGTGAAAGAGCTCTGTATGTAATCCATGTCAATGCAGCAGAAGAATTTTTTCATTTTGAAGGTATGAAAATAATACAAATAAGTGAAGTGCTAACTTTGCTTGTTTTTACAGCGATAAATGGCATACCAACAAGTACACCTCTGTCAGGTAAATACTTATAAGAAATAGCATTGAAAAGAGAAGTAGTAATTAAGCTTAATTTGCATATTATTAATTACTCATCTAAGCAATGGAATATGACAGTGAATGATTCAATTGCAAATTCTCAAAGAAATAACTAAGCTAAGGATGAAAAGGTAGTTTTGCACATGAAATGAAAGTCAAATTTACTTCAGAATCACTAACTGAATAAAATAATCACTCAAACGAAGTACTGTATCTTAAAATTTTCAAAGTTTTAATAAAATCTGATTTGAAATGAATCTAAAACACGAAAGATTTCAGAATATAATGCACTGCAACAGTCATACGATTATGATGAACCAGGGGATCATGAATCATATAGTTTTGAATGGCAAGATAATGATTATCTAGGGTCAGAGTTAGCAAACTTTGAAGAGCCAAATAAAAGGCTTATATCTTTGCTTGCTTTGCATAATAGTACTAATAATTAAATGTTCTTGAGTAATTATTTTCCTTCTTGTACACTATTTTCCATGCTTTAGAACAGAAGCGCAACTTCATAATGAATCGACAAATGAGCTGAATCAAAGATTTCAAATTATCCATTTCAATGACCAAAATTTTGCTTCACAAAGTCAAAATCAAATATTTTTTGATTATATAAATGGATTAAATAGCAATCAGAAAGTGAGAAAGTTTTCAACTTTATAATATTAGAACAAATAAAACTTAATTGCATACTTTGCAGTCATTTATATCTCATAATTATTACTTTTACCAAGTAAAGTATTGTTCAGTGCAAATGACTCCCTCCCAACAAATTTTTAAGAGAAACTGGACACCACAAATGGTCATTGCTTTTGGTACCATTAATCGTCAAAAGAATCAAAATTATAGAAGTAATGGAAATGACTGTCCTTCATTCATTATAAATATACATCAGTTACTTGATAATCATATTCAAAGTGAAATTAAACTTATCAAAGGTTTGTGTTAACAACTTGCAAAAGTTTATTTAATAAAATATATTCATCCAAATTGGGCAAATTCAATTTCAATACGCTTAAAATTTCAACGTCTTGTAATTCATTTTAGATTATGCAAATATTTTAAGATGGACAAACGGTATGATTATCCCTCAAATGCCTGAAGTTTATGTGAAATCCATAACTCTGACAGAAAAATTGTTTGTTTTTTTAAATTTAAACGTTACGAAAACAAAATATTTTTTTAGCAAAGTGTGCAAATAGATTTTTCAAATATTTATTTTCAATTTGATGAATTAACTTATTCTTATTATTGCTTAAGCTTTGACCGAAATAGCAATAAATTAAATGCACACTGCCTTTTGTATTATTTGAATGTTTAAAGTATGCAACAAAAATCAAGGAACAAAAAAAGTAATTTGCTTTATAATTGATGGTTTTTTCTAATCAGAGTTTTTCAGTATGATCAGTAGCTTGAGCTCTGATAACTTTGCCGAACTTCACCAAGTAACTTTTTTGAAAAAGCTAATTTGCATAAAGCATTTCTCAGCAAATGAATCTATAAATATGACAATAATTTTCTCATTACTAGCAGGAAATAAGATTAAGTTCAATAAAATCAGCAAAAATTTAACTATTGGAATTATCATTATGAAACTTTAGCCAAGTTTTAATAGAAAACAACCAGAACGAAACCTTAATAACCCTAAAATTCTATTCATTAAACTGTCTGGCTTTAAAGACTAAGAAGTATAAAACCTCATCATAAGCTTTCAAAGCTTTAAATTTAACCTAAGGCCAAAAATCTTGAGAGTTACTTATCATTGCTTGTAAGATATTATCACTGTAAGCGTTAAGTTGATTATTGAAAAAAAAAACTAAATTTGCTTTAAATAATTATTTGTTAAAAAATCTTTGCGATCAGTGAAAACTGTTATTGAAAAAAGTATACAAATTTACATATCACTATTTTCACATTTTGAGATAAAATAAAAAACTAATAATAAATATTTTGTACATTCTTTATTATGCAAAAACAAATATTTAAACAGTGTAACAAAAACTATATATTAATGTATAATTAATTTATATATTGATTAATTTTACTAATATTTTATATATTAATTAATTTTACTATTTTTTTTGTACTATATATTAATTTTTTACATTTACGATCAATCGATGATAGTTTTACATAGTTATTTTCAAACTATAACAAAAAAACAAACGTGAAATATAGCGTAGCATATTTCAGCCTGATATTAAACTCATTCTTACAATCTCGACAACAGTTCAGGAGCCACCGGATCTATTACTATTAGATTTACCACTTCCAAATCCAATTGAGCCTATTCGACACTGTTTTGTGCATACATCTTTGCACAATGCAGTGTGAGCTATATTTTTTGTTCTTATACAATTATTAATATTCTACATAATTTTTAATGACAATTATTGTTTTGTAAATTTCTTAGCTAAGTTTAATCACTGAAGCTAATAACAAATTTTCATTGGCTGATAATTGATAATGAATTTTGAAAACAACAAATTTATAAAATTAAATTCACAAATTTGAAATACCGAATAATCTTCTAATTACTTTTTTTATAAAGAAAAAAATTGAAAATAAAAAATTAGTCGTTATATTTTTTCATTTTTTTCGACGACATTATTCCTTCCAAATATAATAATCTACTTACTGTATTCATAAAAATATGATTGTTACAAACGTGTGTTCGAACATAATACCGTGTTATATTTAGATGAATAATTTGATAAAATTCGTTAGTTACATACACAAGCACTGAATGATATTAATTAATTAACTGATTAATTAATATGCAAATAGTATGGAAGATTTATGCAAATTTTAGAGCACAATCGAAGTTAAAGAGCATCAGTTCAAAGACAGATTTTTTGATCTTTCGTGGAAAGAACATTAAAGTATCAATTCTAACTGCAGAGACTATGAGCAGAGAGTTCACCATTGAACAAAGTTTATCTAAATGGAAGGTTTGTTCTATTTCTTAGCAACTGCTCTTTTACTCTTTGAATTAATTATTATAAGTTAAAGAATAAATAATACATGCGCTTATTTCTGCTTTTGGTAAGTTTAAAAGCTTTCAGTACGTTTAAATAAGTGAAATCCGTGAAGGTTATTGAAATTTCATTCTTTTTTGTAATAATCGAATGCTGTATTTATTTATTTGTTGTTTTGCAGGAAACGATTGATTTCCTCGATACTCATCAGATTATTGCAATTCAAATTCCAGCCTCTATATTCATTAATGTTTGCGCTCCTCGAAAATTTCGGTACTGTATATTTTTCATTTTATTTTTTCATCCTTTTCGAAACAATTTATTTACTAATTTACTTATTTACAAATTAACATGAAAGTAATGTAGTTAATATTTAAAGTATATTAATCCTTGAATTATTTTTAGTAAAGTATTTGGTATAGAGCCGTTAACACTGAGCCTTTACGGCCCAGACAGAGATATTACTGTTGGTGAAACTTATCATAGTAATACTGGATTGCTGAGGAAAATGAACGAAACCAGAATGCTATATATAATTATTGGTTTTCTGAAATAAGAAATGACTACACAAAAACATTATAAGGCAGTGATTTGCAGAGAATTTGCTTTAGTTTAGAAAATATTGCATTCCCTCTGTTGATATAAAGACTTTCAATAATTTAGTGTTGTCCAGCAATTGCATACAGTACTGAAATGTAGTGAACTGTGCAGCATTCTGCAAAAAATATTATCATTTTCTAAAAATTAAAAAACGACTAAAATTTGCAATCAGATAAATTGTTGCTAAAGTTTCAAACTTACTGAAGTAAGTACTAGTCTCATCTATTATCTTTACTTTGTATTAATTAATTCAAAGAGTAATATAACGGTCGCATCTAAATTGCTAAGCAATAAAACAAACCTTCCATTTAACAATACTATGCATACTATTTATACTCTGCATAAATATTCTCACTTCTAAGAATTCATTCAAGAAAGCTAAAATTCGCAATCAATTCGCAATCAGTTCGCAATTAAATAAATTATTGCTAAAGTTTTCAAACTTACCAAAGTATTAATATCGAATGATATCTTCCAGTCTTGTTCATGTTTGTACTCACTAGCCTTTTTGTTTGCGCACACCTTTGACATACAATATTGCAATCTCAGAAAAACAAACAGTATGCATTAATTATCAATTGAATAATATTTGTTAATTACAAATGTACCCAAACAATATTTGCTTGAGTATTGTTGAGGTAAAATATTGATACTTACATGAATAATATATTATATTATATTAGTAAGACTGAATATGTTACAAATTGCATTCATAATTATTTGCATAATCTTTTCATCTAAAAGTATTAAAAACTTTCCCACTTCACTTTTCAAAGACTTACAATGCATTATACGAAATGTAATTTTGTATGTTCAGATGTAAGCAGTGGAATTAGTTATGAACAGAAGTGAGCATCAGCAAAATTTTTGTTTCTTTGATAAGCTTTGCACCTGGAATTTCGTCTGCAACCCTTTCAGAAATTTCATTCGAACCACATTAAAGTTTGGAAGTTTATTAGTGCTTCAGATAGTAATACTTGTGTAATACTAATATTACTCACTGCTTGCTGTGTTATGAATTTGACAGTCATCTCTGGGAAATGTTTTACTGATCAGTTGCGCACTGCAAAAATATACTCGTTCTGATATGAATACTAAATAACTAAATATTAGGAAGTTTAAGCACTTTTGTGGTATATTAGTTTAGTTGTAACTTTTATTCTTGGTCAGGTAAAGAGTTTAGACTGTACTTTACTGATTCCATAATTGTAAGCAAAGAAAAGTCTGATCAGTTTGCTTAACTCTGCACAAATAAAACTTTTAGTTGAAGCATTTGGTACTACTGGTAAAGAAAAGCTTTCGGTGCTACTAGTAAAGAACTGCTAAGATCAGGATACTTCTCAGAATCTCACACACTTCAGAAACTCACATATAATCTTAGATACTCTGTAACCTAGAAGATAGCACATTTTATTATATTTTTATTTATCAAATAACCATTTTAACACTCATTTTAATTCTATCCAAGCTTTTTGGACTATTTACACCCAAAATGAAAATACTATTGCTAAATAATTATCAGAATTGCATGACATTTAAAATGATTGTGTTATCAGATTCTTCTATGATTCATTTGCTTATTGCTAATATGAAATAATTTGTTGCATGATAATAAGGATTTATTAGACAAAAATAAACAAAGTCGAAAAAATTGAGCACTTTAAAAAGTTTACAAAATGAATAGTAATGATAAGATTTGTGTACAGTACTGTTATCTTAGTAATAATTAATTATTCATATTTTTCTTCGCTATATTAAAAGAATAAATATATTCATAGCTTATCTTTTTGATTTATGATTTTCTGAAGTCGATATAATTAGTGAAATTTTTTTGCTACACATAATACTTCTTGTATATATTAATATTTATCAGGCAAAAGTATTTTTTTGAGTTTTAGTTTTTGTACTCAACCTATGCTTTCTATTTATCTTCGAAAAATAAGCAACAAAATGTGATCAGCGAAAGCTCAGATCATCCAGCATCCAACATCCTTTACATTAACTAGAATGCGAGTAACAACTAAACGAAAAATCCCTGATAAAACGAAGACCTAAAATATTTTCAGAAGTCTATTTTGTACAATCACCTTTGACTGCAAACAAAATAGTTTATTTGCAAAGAACTAAACTAATTCCATATTTGTGACTAATAACTTCATAGACTAAACGGCTGCTTAATGATAGTTATAGAATAGTTTTAATTTTGAAAGGTTAATTTATACTCAAAATAAAAATGCATGCATATTACTTAACAGGAATAGAAACAGTTTAGGCCTAAATGAAAAAAGTTCCGAGAACTTAACAAATCATAAAAACAGATTAAAGAATTAGGCTCAGAACAAATCAGATCACGTTTGATGACGCGATATGCTAAAACGAGAATGGCAAAAACGACAGGAATGTAAATCGAGACTGGAAGTTGACGAAGACAGCGATTCAGCGTTTTGGTCTATATACCTGAAGAAGTAAACACTTGTTTTATTTTTTCTGAATGAGCGATAAATATTCAAATCTTTCAAATACTGAAAAATTTTTCATAATATAAACAATCAATCAATATTCATACTAACGTAAATTAACGTGAATTTCTTTGTACTAATAAAGTAATTTTGACGAACTGCAGTTCTGTTGTTTTTATTTATTGTTACTAAAATTTAGAAGACAAGAAAATGGATGCATTTTTGATCTAAAATACAGAATAAATCGTACCGTATCCATCGAATATCAGTGGGGATAAAGGGAATAACATGCTTTGATATATAAAAGTTATTTATGATCAGCGCATCTTGATCATAATTTTTCGCCCTTCTTTGCATCAAATTTGCATAAAGCTCAGAGACAAGGACAACCTGAAACTCGTCTTTCGCACATTATCATCATATAATATGTGTTATATATTATTTTCAAGCCATCCTATCACATGACAGTACCATTTTCAAATAAAAATAAGCAATGAGTTGAATATTTGAGATGTATTAGTAATATACATATCAATACGTGGATGTATACTTATATATCAGTAGATCAGAAATATGGAAATCACAAATTAAAAAAAAAAATTGAAAAATGTAAATTGCGTCGTGTCATGAGAGAAGTTACAGAACTGACTACACTTTATGAGGAGTATGTTTGATGTTAGAAACTGTGCTTAATTACTTTACTGAAGTTAGCTAATTAAATGTTGACCTTTCCTCCAACAACGGCTAAGGCAGAGCGCGCATCTTGGATTTTCCTACCAAAGTAGTGAATCTTTCGGATGTACTGTACCCCCACTAGATCGATACACATTGTCGTGATTGCCAAACCTATCATAAATTCAACAGTAATCATTTAAGAATGCGCAAATTTTTCGGTGCAAATATTTTTTCATATTAGTAAAGTTTTGATTCTGAAAATTAGTCAAATTCATTTTTATAATTATTTGTCATTTTTTTACTTTGGACAATTTTTTATTGCGTAAATATTTATGTAAATTACTGTAATAATTATTAGGTGATATATTTAATGTATAGTAAGCAATCAAGTCGAAAAACATTTTCAGATGACAGCAAAGTTTGAGTAAGCTAAAAATGATTTTATTGATAGATAGTGACAACAAAATTTTTAGTATTTATAAGCTAATAATAAAAGTAACTACGACAAATCAATACAAACCTAAAATGATATAAAGTAAAATGAGGTACATATAACCGTCCCTTCTGGGCATCAAATCACCAAAACCAACCTGAAAATCAGACCATTTATTTGTTAACTGAACTGGAACACGACTAAGCAATTAAAATGGTTGTTAACTTGTACATTCGTAACGGAAATTTATCAGTTTTTATTCTGATAATGAGGTTAAAAAAACATACAGTGGTCATCGTAATAAATGACCAATAAAACGAAGTGAAAAAACTCCATGGCTCTAAATTTGACATTAACACACCACCGAGAGCCGTGTAGGCAACCAATATTAAAAGTACTAATATCGCTGGTATTCTGTAAAACTTTCTAAATCGAATTAACAAAATAACTTCTTAAAAGACAGAGATAAAAGCAATTATTTAAAATTCACAGCATATAAATTTTAAATACCAATAATTAACACTAAATCCAAATCAAAATTATTATAATCAGTGACAGCAATAATTGTCATCGCTGCTTAATTTCTTTCCTCATTATGTAGGCTAAATTTAAGCTTGGACAGTTAATTCAAGCATATGCAATGAAATTACAGTATACGGATATCAAGTACTGCTGCTATTAACTATCCCCTGGATAGTCTAAACCATTAAAAGTTACAGTAATAAATACTGTATGAAGATCGTACCTTTGTTCTTCTATAAAATGCATATTGGCGCTTAGGCCTTGTCTCTGGCACTGCTCACATACCCTTTCTCGATGGCTTTTTCGTCCATGGCGCCTTTCGTACAAAAAATGCTTTAGTTTGAGGTAGTTACCATACATCCACACCAGATGTTCACTCAAAAATTTACCAATATCTGCTATGGTCACCAAGGTCAAAGGTATACCAAATAATGAAAATATAATGCACATCATGCGGCCAAACTGTGTTACTGGTACCGGATTACCATATCCTAAATGAAACATGTTTTTTTTGGCTCGTCCACATCAAATGTTAAGTTATCATATCGAAAATAAATATTCATTCTAGCTCTTTTACTGTATTTGGAATAAAAATTATTTCTGGCTGTTTGCTAGATAAAAGCATCTAAATATTATCAAAATCACTGCTGATGAAGCAAATTATTTTTTAAAGTTCATAATTAACTTGTTACCACACATAAGAGGCAGCAATAAACAAACAAGCGAATGTAATTAATTGATAAAAAAAAATTTTATCAAGTAAATAAGTAACTAACTCACTTACCAATCGTAGTAACAACCGTAACAGCGAAGAATATAGCAGTTGAGAAAGACCATATTTCTATAGTATCATTAGCTCGAACTTCAGCAGAGGTCAGGAAGAATTTTTCAAATGCTATGAACAGATGGTCACTCATATTATGCATGTGCTGTTTTGTTAATTGTGACCAAACTTCTCGACGTGTTTCATTGAGCATAGCCAATGTGAACAGTGAATTAACGAACTCTTCCTGACGTTCATATATCATATCCAGCTGAATATTTCCAATAACATTTTCATTCCCAGTTTATTTTCTTTCGCTCCTTTGTTTATTTATTTTTTGTTTTAAATTTACTCTTATTAACTAATTAATTAATTAATTAATTAATTTTATTATTATGATAATATCTTATATCCTGCATTCATCTAATTGTAATAATAATGAATTACTTCAGTTTTCAAGTATGTAATTATTCATTATCACATTTTGAACGATAAACTGACTGCCATAATGAATTACACAAATAGTAATAAATTTCGTTAATATTATGGATTTAAATGATCATGGATGCATTCATTTTGTTGAATTAAATAAAATTAAGAAATGGGCTCAATTCAATTCCTCATAATAATTAATTATATTACAATATTCATTTTTAT